GGTCGTGGCAGAGAATCTTCTTCAGGGCGTAGAGTCGCCCGTCTTGGGCTCCCTCCACCAGGTCCACATAGCTGAATCCCCTAGAAACCAGAGGCTCTCCTAAGCTGAACAGCGGATTTACCCATCACCTCTCCCCTGCTGCCCAGCACGCCGATCCTCCTCGGCCCCTCCTGCTCTTCCACCTAACAGCTACCCTCCGGCTCCCTGCTGACCTATCCCATCAGGCCACACTCTCCCCTTTTTCTTCCCCTCGGGTCAAATCTCACACGTCAATTCCACGTCAAAGACCGAGCTAAACAAATCTGAATTCCGAGCGGGGAGGGGCGGGTGTCGGTGTTTGTCGGCGGCAAAGGACCAACGAAAGGTTAATTCCATGCTGGAAAACAGGGAGGAGAAACTACGTTTGGGCTTGCTGAGCCTTCCTAGAACATGAGGGAGAGAGGAGGAGATATGGCAGGGGAAAGGAAGGGAGGTGAGAGCGTCATTTTTCAGCAGGGAATTAACCATTCCTTGTTCCTAAATTAAAATACTGCCTCCCACCAATGTTCCTACTAATTTTTAATGGCCCGTGTGCGCAAAAAGTTCACGTTGTGCACGTTTTTTCCCCAGTGACAAAAGCTTGCGTGCACTACATTGAGTGTATGTAAAATTGCCAACCTGAAATTATTTTTTGTTAATATAGTCATCCTCATAGAAGCATAGAAGCATAGAGATCCAAAAGACCAGGACAGTGATTCGCTCCCTGCATGAGCAGGGAGGTACGAAACTACGAGAGCATAGATGTCGGTCATCGAGTAGCAATAATAATGCACACAGCCAAGCTGGACCTCTTGCTGTCTCATGTGGTCAATTAAGCATTTTTCAATTGATGACCGTGTTTGTTTTATCATCGGACTTTAGGGGGAATTTAATTTTTTGTGTGCAGTTTAATTTCCTGGTTGTATAACCTGTGTGTGCGCACGCACGGACATAGCTGAGAGGGAACGGTCTCCAACCGTCACCCACTGCCCTCCATTTTGTTCCTCTTTTCTGTTTGATCCACTATCACGGCCCCAAGGGAAGACCCCAGCCCAGCCGGTGCTCCCTACCCTTCGTCTAGTTTCTGGATGAAGTAATAGCGCTTGTTCTCAATGGTGACAGTTCCTCTGGAGCAGATACACATGGCATGGCCCATGGTCCCTGTAACATCCTTTGATCACTGAGGAAAGAAAGAGCACATGGGTTCTAGATCATTCGTGCAAAAGCAGAAAAACTGGCTTCAAGAGTGTTAATTTACTTGAGCGAGTGCTACATTCACGAACCACACAGGCAGAGCAGCTAGCCAGGACGTCGAAGCTGATCAGCACAGTTCAGATGTTAGCCCTGGGCAACCTCTTGACTTCAGAGGCAGAGGACTCTCTTTTGGAATCTAAACTTATATTTTAAAATGACAGTTTCCTCTTGGGGATGGCACAGGGGCTCAATGGTTAGCATTGCTGCCTCAAATTGCTGGGGCCCTGGGTTGAATTCTGAAACGGCGGTGCTATCTGTGTGGAGTTCGTATGTTCTCCAGTTTCCTCCCACAGAGATATACTGGAGGGTTAATGAATTAATACTGGAGCTAAAACAGGCCCTAGCGTGAGTGTGTGCACGTCTTCTTTTGCGTCTGTTTGCCTGCCTTGCACTGGACTGGCATCCAGCCCGGGGCGTGTCCTGCCTTGCACCAGTTGCATGCTAGGACAGGATAAACGAAAGGCAGCCCATCTCTTTTAAAGGCATTTAAATCAAGACAAGAAAAGACCTCCTGCACGATTTATGCTTTCTAAACTAGAGACAACTAACAAAAAAGGTAACACCTAAAATTGTTTAAAATATGGGATGCTATCCCTATTTATCCTCTTCTCAGAAGAGGGGTTCATTTTGAAGAGATGTGGCGTTTTTCCTCAAAATGCCTATTCCAGGAAGCTTTCACCACTACCGTCTCAGAACACATTCCTCCTGGTTTTCCCTCCAGCCGAGCTTAATGACTTAAGGGAACTAACGAGGCACTCGATTGCCAATCTGTCAAAGTTCTTTTTGTTGTTCTACTTTTTTATTTTATGGCAATGAAATGCAGTAGTTAAAGGGCAACCACCTACACACTAAAGAGCTAAAAAAAAATCAAATGGTTTGAATCAATCGTGTTATTAAGTCAATTAAAGAATCCATTTGGAAACCCAAGAGCTTGGTTTACTGTCAGGAGGCTACCCTGGATCACTGCTTCACAGCTGCTCTGACTGCTGGTGCAGGCTGTAGAGTCCAGGGGTGGTCAATCTCACACACCTGCCGATCTTCATTCCAGCTGAGCTTAATGACCTCCTAGAAGCCTTTATTGAATGAATAAACTGCTGGATTGTAACAATCGCACAAGTATTCCCCCCTCCCCAGACTCAAGAGTTTGTTTGGGATTTGATCTTAATGAGGAAAATGCAGTACTTTAAATGTCTATCTTCAATAGGTCTTAAAGCAGAAAACAGTCACACAGTTCAAATCCACCCTGTTATCAAGTCAATTACACATTAAATGGTGTAACTTTCATCTTGGCTGAAGCAAAAACACACGGTTGTGTGAATCTCCATGACCAGGACTAGCCGATACAGACTACACCCCCTAAACACTAATACTACATCCTGTTTATGCATTGGAATAACATGCAGTTACTGTACATATGATGCCAGTCCAAACTGTGAACCAGTACTCTTCTATTGACGAGCTGACCTAACAACCAATAGCCAGGCTTTCTGAACACATGCATAAAGAGATATCTAACTGAATAAACAAAGTATAAAATGAGTGGTGAAAGACTCGTGTTTGTGATGAATACACATTATCCACGATCCATAGAATACTGGATCACAGTGACATTTTCTAGTATATTTGAAAGTTTGTAAATTATTTCTTCAAATCATTTCAGTAATAGTACTGAATGAATATACATGTAATACGCTGACTAAAAATAACCAAATTTGTTATTTGAGCGCGTCAAGAGCTGTGCTGACTGATGCACACGATTGTCTCCTGCTGGTTTTTACTACAAATGAGTAACGTAGTACCAAAATAACAATACTATAAAAATTAACTTTTCCTTAAAACACGGTTTCTATGTCACAAGAAACTTCAATATGTAGCGTTTCTATTAAGGTGGCGCTTAAAAGAAACTACCCTTTTATGCATTAACTGTAATTGAACCCATCGGTTGCGCTCCATCGTGAATAATTCATAGCCCTTATTTAAAAACAAATGACATATTACTTATGTGAACGTGCGTGTTACGACACGGGTGTAAATTCCGCACATTCATTTGAAATAAAAAAAACTTACACAGTGCGCATATAAAACATCCCACTTTGGGCTGAACGCAAAGACCTATATGGTTTAATGCTAACGTGGCACGTACATCGCAGTTTTAAATCATAGCGACAGCATCTAACATTGTAGTAGCAGCAGCAGGGTCTACCGGGAAGAGGAATTATTACTTAAATCTATAACCAGTCGGATATAATCTCGTGCAGTGAATGATTTAGACCGCCACCGAAAGAAAACACATTGGATCTAACGTTACCGTGGGACAGAATGTTATATCTCCGTCCTTTTAAACGTTTCTCTCCCGTCTCTCTCGCTTTATCTTCACCTCCAGATGATTTCCGGGTAGAGAAATTCCTCCTGCGGCCAGCGCGTCATCGACTGGAGAGACCCCGCCTCTGTTTTAAACACACAGTAACTCTCATTCACACATTTCA